ATATATATATATATATATATATATATATATATATATATATATATATATATATATATATATATATATATATATATATATATATATATATATATATATATATATATATATATATATATATATATATATATATATATATATATATATATATATAAGTTTTTCAGGATTATGTATGTATTAATCTATTGATTGTGTATTCCTTGCTGCGTGTAAGGATTGTGCAGCCGAGCCGATTCAGGAAGGTGTGTCACGATGTAAGTCAGACATGGCGACACGTATGCTTTGTGTTGCTTGAAATGAATTGCGTATTTCATCATATTGTTCACAGGAGCTATTTTAAATCCTCAAAAGTATCACCTGGAGGCCTATGGTCATCCAATATTGAGTTGGCGCTGATATATTCTTTGTCCCACACTTCCCATATATAGCACGCCCTGTCTGGTACCATGCGAGAGATCGATGATATCTCCGCCCGATCCAAATAAAGCATTCGTTTACAGCTATTGACACCACAAAAAATCTCAAACAAACGCGCATTCTATCACTGCAGATCTATTTCTTCTTGGTGTACACTGTCTGGAAAGCCTTGGGGAAGCAGTTTAATCCAGGTACATCCCCTACCCACCGTTCACTACTTCGCGTGGTGCTTGTATCGTGAAGCGTATCTACCTTCCTACACATGTGATACTTTGTGTCTCGCTGACTCTCTTCAGCACACGCGATGTACACTGCTGCGTCAGTTAGTTTGTACCGTAGTCCGCCACTCTTTCAAAGCTGTGTATTCAACTGAGTTGTTTGTAGCGCAATTCGCGCCTAGTGGCACACAGTAGAATCACCTTAGCGTGTTGCTGTTGCTGTCTCTCAATATGTTCTGATTCACCACATTGCCACATTTGTTGCCCTCTCTGCCTCCCACAATGCTGTTATGGTAGCACAAATGATGCAAAAACAACGCACTCGGCATTCACCTGTTTGCAAGACAAGTGAATGGGAATCTAATATAAAAAGACATATACGATCTTACTCAATACATCAACGCATGTGTACAAGCATTATATATATATATATATATATATATATATATATGTATCAATGTAGTGTGTCCATATACGTGTAACACATGTGGCCACATCTAATATATTAATTATCCCATACCATAGACTTGGGCGGGTGTCGATGGACGGACGCTGACTTCTACGATGAAGAGTACAACATCCGCTTGACGTATCAGAACCACCACTGGGGCGCACGTGCGTGTGCGTTGGGCCACACACTGTGGCGGCCGTCACTGCCCGACCACGTGTGGTGGAACAGTGGGCTGCATCACCAGGCACAGCAGACCAACGCCACAACTGAGTATACAGAGGCTGTGCAGGCGATCAAGTGTGTGCAGGAGGCTACGGCGCCCTCTGCAGGTGCGTGCGGGGGTGTGGGGGTTAGGGTTTAGGGTTTTATGTGTGTGTGGGGGGTTACTGGGGGTGCGAAGGTTAACGAGCGTTTAACTTTAACTTATGGTGTTGGGTGTTTGTTGACTGGGTCACATTGTCCCGTACCACTGGGTTCTCTGCACTCGTGTTTGCAACAGTACACCTCACGACCTGTGACGTAGTGTGCGTGTCAATGGTCTGTGACGTAGTGTGTGTGTCAATGGCCTGTGACGTAGTGTGCGTGTCAATGGACTGTGACGTAGTGTGCGTGTCAATGGACTGTGACGTAGTGTGCGTGTCAATGGTCTGTGACGTAGTGTGTGTGTCAATGGCCTGTGACGTAGTGTGCGTGTCAATGGACTGTGACGTAGTGTGCATGTCAATGGCTGTGACGTAGTGTGCGTGTCAATGGCCTGTGACGTAGTGTGCGTGTCAATGGTATGTGACGTAGTGTGTGTGTCAATGGCCTGTGACGTAGTGTGCGTGTCAATGGACTGTGACGTTGTGTGCGTGTCAATGACCTGTGACGTAGTTTGCGTGTCAATAGTCTGTGACGTTGTGTGCGTGGCAATGGTATTGTTTTTGGTTTTTTTTATTTCTCCACAACCCATATGCCGTTCTGATATGGCAGACTGATCTGTGTGTCTATGCGTCCATATTATGCTCAATATCTGAATATGCTACAGGCAGTTTGGACAAATCGTGCTAAGCATGTGCGCGTTCACATTCGTGCATGGGTCCATGGTGTATCTGGGGTGGCTGTGTGTGTGTGGCGGGTGATGAGACCAATCGTACACATCTCCGCTTGACGACTCTTCTGGTGGCGTAGACCATAG